TTTTCGGGATTAGATTATATCGTCGAAAATTGTTTTGTGATCGCTCGGCGAGGCTTCCAATGCTGTAGCGTTGTGCTCGTACGGCGAGGCCTCCAATTCTGTGGTGGTCGATATTCGGTACTATCCCTAAGCTTCGTATATTGTTCGTCTTGATAACCGTTACTCGACAACGTCCTAACGATGTATAAATCAGAAGACGAATACGAAGGGTTGATCGTGTTTATTGCTGAACCACACACAGTTATCCAATATTACAGGCACGTCAAACAAGCATGAAAAAGCAGTGCCATAGAGCCGGATGAATGAGTAAGCATATACAGTACGGTGTAGCGTAATACAGAGCAGAGCAGAGAGCAAGCAGGGCAAGAGCAGTAGAGCAGTAAACAGGATTAAGATGTACATATATATATAAGCGGAAAAGCATGAATCATCGGATCAAATAAGCGATTATTAATAATGCTAGCGGAATGAATATATGCGTAGGCAGTAAGCAATGTTCAAGCGTATATAATAAAAGTGAAATGGTATAGATGGCATGTTATTGTATGAATGACTGTCCATTAAATAAGTTAACAAAAGGGCTTAAATGAATTAGATGCAAACAAACTCAATTGTATCTGAGTTGCTATAGGCTCTTACACCGAATAAATTGTTGTTGATTTATAAAGGATTGTCATTTGAGGATGTTTCTGTGGATAAGACTCTATTATACAATAAAAAATGGAAAGAAGCTCAAAGATTAACTACCGCATTTTGGTATAGGTGGATAAGAGAATATCTACTGACTCTTCGAACAAGAGATAAATGGTTAAACGTACGTAGAAATCTACAACCCGGCGACCTAGTTCTCGTGGGTAACGTTGAAACGAGCAGACGTCTATGGCCTAAAGCCATTGTCGAACAAATAAGCTATGGCCCTGATGGACGAGTTCATACAGCAAGGTTGAGAACGGCAAACGAAGAAATCGTTCGGGATGTTCGGAGCATATGCCTATTGGAAGAGGTGGGTTATCTGACAGCAACGGCGACGACACAGGGCGATCGACGTGGTACGCGTTTTGGGGGGAGTGAAAAGCGAGATCGATAAGCGCATACACCAGTAATGAATGAAACGCGCACCACCGCACTAACTTCTTTGACCTTGTATTACTACGTCTTTGTTTTATCCACCAATCACAATTTATGTTCATTCTAAAACAATATTCGTTTTGTTGACTCATTTTTCCTATTCTCCAGTTACTGTTCGGTATGTCATTTATGTCTCTCCTTTTCCATATGTAATAGACTGTATTTTTATTTGCGTACTAACGTTGTTAATTTACGTTTTAGAAACAGATAAAGTTAATTAAGCCAAATAGCTTACTTGTTTTGACTTTGGCGAAACCAAGACTCTGTATTCGACAGTTTAGAGAATAGCTTAAAGTTACACCTGTAGGAAATTGCTTGCTACAATGTATGTGGATAAGAAGCTATTGTGGACGTTGACTTGATTGACGACAACAGTTTGTTACTCTGTTTAATTTAGCAAGGGCATCAAAGATCTATATTACCTTATGTAGCAAATATACTCCGTGACGAAAGGGTTATTAGAGTTGATCTAGTAAAACACATGTATTCTCAAACATTCTTCAATTTAGAAAGTTGTACAGATTTAGATATTCTTCCACTGTTACTACTTCAAATACTACTAATGATTGTGATAAATGCCTTAAATGGTGATTATCACTAAACTGATCAAACGGCCTTAAACACTAATTATATTATGTCAATTCTGATAGGGATATCGTTCGTCAATGTAAAGTTAATTTGAACTAATTGATGTGCCAATCTATACACCCCTACTATTATTACGGTAAAGCATGTTGTCGTGAATTTTATCTTTGTTTCGCAGTTTCATCGTCATACTTTTTTTCTAAGTTCTGGAATTAGGCGGGTTTTTTTACACCTGCTTCTTACATGACACAGACCTATTAATATCAAACATTTTTGCAAACATTTTCAAATTGGAACCATGTATTTGATTATGGGTTTCTAATGTTACACTAGAAAATATGGGATTATTGTCTCAATTAGATAAACATCGATCACCTGAGGAAGGTGCAGGCATAAGAGGCACGTTTGAGAGTTAGTGAACGTGGAGTAATCAATAAGTAAATAATGAGTATGTTTCTTCCACTGAACAACACATTCTGAAAACAACTGACTTTGTCATTTTTAAAATGATACTCATTTGGATGAACCTGTTTCATTGGTGGATCCACCTGAATCTACGATGATCTTGTATATGTCGTCTGACATACAGCTCAGATTATTGCATAAGAACACTAGATTTTGGACGGCATTATTCGAAACATCATCCATCTGATTGTCACTGTCAACATACTTGCAGATTTTGGAAGACAACGAAATGTGAAACAATGGATTGTCTAGAAATCTGATGTATCGGTGATATGCACAACTAGTCACCGTTTCATTGTTTGTCTTCCATCTCCAAACACTTGAGAGCAATACTAACATTGTGAACCTTGATTGATTGACGTTAACACAGTAATCACTACAATCTATGATACATCACCGTGATCGATAAATTTCCACACATTTCATAAATGTCTAACACAGTCTACTCATTGTCATCACATGCTGATTGTAAAATTTGGCTCAACAGCACAGTGTCAAACACAGTTACTTGTGGTGGATTAATAATGGAAGGAGTGGAAAACATTCCCACGTGTTAGATTGTACGAGAAGTGAGCTTAAATAGAAATCATCTTAACAACGTTCAAACTGGATATCTGCAAACCACAATGAAGTATTCTCTTCTAAGTGTAACATGAAAGAAAATGCATAGTGCAACTTATTCTGCTACCTAATTGACAACTGTACTAAGAAATGTGTAATTTAAATGTTTTGCTTACGAGAAATGCCTGAACGTCAGTTAAACTGGTCGATATTCTGAGAGAAGAGAAAGAGCTACCTTGCTCATCATCGTCAGACTAACAGACTACAACGCAAAATGAACTGATAGTTGTAAATATCTCGAGAATACTATCAGTATTGACATCTATGTTCGATTTGATGCTATGGTGTTTATTGCTTACTTTCATTGTCAACATGACCTATTTCAACATTCCTTATACCTGTATATTAGTCTCTCTCCATTGTTCATTATATGTCATTATGAATAATGGTATACAGGCATCGATTTGTGAATAGCATTTGTGTATTGACCATGTTTGAAGTACCAGTGAATTTCCGTCCAGTGATGTGATGAATTCCGCTCACTAATGGATCACATTCTCACTATTCATCGGAATGGAATGTCTTATATGGTAGAGATCGATTGCATTCTCATGTGAACTGAGAAGCTCATCATTCTATGTATGTGGATAAGAAGCTATTGTGGACGTTGACTTGATTGACGACAATAGTTTGTTACTCTGTTTAATTTAGTAAGATGATAATTGAGTGTACTTGTTTTGAATGTGCTGAGATAAGCCATCACATACACGGCATTTGTTTCATGAAGAAGGTAGTATTTTGAAATCGTTAGTTTATTCAACTGAAGATGTTTCATATTGACTGATACTTCATCAGGAAGCAAGATCATGTGGTTTTGACAAACAATGTAACTCTTCGATGTCGTTTCATTAAAGTCATTTATATGGTATTGAGTAAGCGTACGTAGCAACTTCGCTCCGTTGCATTTGATAATGCAGTTGATCAGTTAATATTTTATTATATGTTTTCTCACATAGTGAGGTAATATTTAGAAGCTGAGTGCATATAGCAACAACACAGAATTATATGAGTTCAGTAGATTGATGAATTGCGTCTATCACATTTAGTCTCTTAACTGCTTCTCATCAAACTGCATCACATTAATACCAAGCATCATGCCAAACAATATGAACGTCCCACAATATGAACTCAACTACTGAGTATTACTGAGGAATGTAACGCATTCAATAAGATGTGAAACGAGACGAGATAAAGTTAAATATTATTGGGCATATTCAACTCTTGATTGTCCAATAATGAATCAACTGATGATGTGTAATTCTTTAACTGTATAATTTGACCAGCCATGAGAAGAAGAGGTCGCAATCCAGATACATATCCGACAGTCAAAATGGAGAGAGACTATCAGAAATTCTTCTCTAACACATTCATACATTAAACCAGCAACACATTTACCACTGTTCTACACATTACCACTCATGATCAGTGTACATCTGATAAAATAATATCTTTGCGCAGATCAAAATAATCACCCAAATTATCTATGTCAGGTATATACATAATTGCATGCCTGGTGAGTAGATGTCATTGGTATGTAATGCCGTATAATCTACAACACTTCTTCACAGCAAATGTAGTTGTTATTTCGTAGTGAGGATGAATGTTCCGCGACCTATTAATGAACTATAATTCAATATATATTCTGATGGATTAACTATTCAGTGATTCTAATTTATTCATACTCCATTTATGAACTCATTATGTTACAGAACGTAAGAGTATTTTCATCTTCTGAACTAATATACACACAATCCTATTTGACTTATGCGGATATTCAACAATATCAGAACGAACTACTGAAATTACTACAATCTTCACAAATACGCATTCTAATAACAATCGTCATGTGGTCATTAGTGACCACCTTCAACACTCCCTGTTCTCGTTTAATTGTAATGAATATTTCAGATGAAATGATTGTTATTCATACTAGTTGTTTCCTACTGCAAATTAGTCGATCTGTGTATCGATTCTAATCGAACGTGCCTAGTAAGCTATACATTATGAACTCATTCATAACAACGACGAAGAGAGAGAGAAAACGTTTCAAATTTTGTGACAGATATATTTATTACCATGTTATTTTTAAAAAATTGTGAATAAAATAAAAAAGTGAAATCTCCTTCAGATCACCATCTACTGAGATATTGATGTGCTGAAATCAATTTTCATCAGACACCATCCTCATTTCACTCAGATGACTAGTAGTAATCGGGATTCGGAAAGTCACCGTCAATTTCGGGAGGTGGAGGAATTAAACGAGGATCATATTGATTGGGGCGATGATCGTCAACTGCGACACCAATTGGAATTTGGTTCCAATCTGGGTCAACACCCAATTTGACTTCGGCGACAGTAGGGTTGTTTGATTCTATAGGCGAAATGAGAGAGAAATCAACAGTTAGTTATGGGTTATCAGTTACTAGCTTATTATTATAGCAACCAGATATGAAGACTTTTACTTACTCTCGGTATCGGCAACTGACTCAACGAACTGAATGATTGTAAGGTGCACTGCAAACAGCATGATCAACATCTTGATATATCTCATTTTCAGACTGATCTCTCTCACGTAAGATGAAGGAATCAGTGACACTGTTCTCCGACTATAATCAAATATCAAGCTACCACAACGTCGTTTATATACTCATACTGTCTAGATGACACTTATCAGAACAGACATTAACACGCTGACACATACGTTCGTGGTTGGTCATAACTTACTTATTTACTGGACACAATAGATACCCACGGTCACAATTCTTTAGAGGATTGGTAGTTTGTATGTTACACACACTTCGATGACGACGAATGGCACAATTTCAATAGAGTGAATGTATGATTGGGGTAAATCCATCTTATGTTGATCGATCACTCCAGCCTAATTGATTTGTGTTATCAGGTGATGTTGATCAGGAAGACGGAACATTGGTGATGGGAATAGGCAATGAATGAGAAACGTTGGATTCTTATTTTACTAAAATTGGAGATGTATGTGAAGAGCATGTCATGGTTGAATGAATGTGCCTTCAAACACAACTGATGGTAATATGTATAGTTATATTCTTCACTGTCCTCCATTATTCTTTGCAGGGCTATTGAGAAAACACTTTGCTGCATTGTCGTGAGTGCTAATGCTAGTTTCCAAGCTGTTGAGAAAACGTCTAATGCCGTTATTAATATGGTTGTGGATAAACATGTTAAGCCTTGCAAATTCCTGATAGATGTTATCTAATCAGATACTAACCATCACCTTCATTCATATATTTCTCCTTGTACATCTTCTGGTAGAACGAGGCATCAATACACTCAAATACATGCACAGAAGCAAGGGCATCAAAGATCTATATTACCTTATGTAGCAAATATACTCCGTGACGAAAGGGTTATTAGAGTTGATCTAGTAAAACACATGTATTCTCAAACATTCTTCAATTTAGAAAGTTGTACAGATTTAGATATTCTTCCACTGTTACTACTTCAAATACTACTAATGATTGTGATAAATGCCTTAAATGGTGATTATCACTAAACTGATCAAACGGCCTTAAACACTAATTATATTATGTCAATTCTGATAGGGATATCGTTCGTCAATGTAAAGTTAATTTGAACTAATTGATGTGCCAATCTATACACCCCTACTATTATTACGGTAAAGCATGTTGTCGTGAATTTTATCTTTGTTTCGCAGTTTCATCGTCATACTTTTTTTCTAAGTTCTGGAATTAGGCGGGTTTTTTTACACCTGCTTCTTACATGACACAGACCTATTAATATCAAACATTTTTGCAAACGTTTTCAAATTGGAACCATGTATTTGATTATGGGTTTCTAATGTTACACTAGAAAATATGGGATTATTGTCTCAATTAGATAAACATCGATCACCTGAGGAAGGTGCAGGCATAAGAGGCACGTTTGAGAGTTAGTGAACGTGGAGTAATCAATAAGTAAATAATGAGTATGTTTCTTCCACTGAACAACACATTCTGAAAACAACTGACTTTGTCATTTTTAAAATGATACTCATTTGGATGAACCTGTTTCATTGGTGGATCCACCTGAATCTACGATGATCTTGTATATGTCGTCTGACATACAGCTCAGATTATTGCATAAGAACACTAGATTTTGGACGGCATTATTCGAAACATCATCCATCTGATTGTCACTGTCAACATACTTGCAGATTTTGGAAGACAACGAAATGTGAAACAATGGATTGTCTAGAAATCTGATGTATCGGTGATATGCACAACTAGTCACCGTTTCATTGTTTGTCTTCCATCTCCAAACACTTGAGAGCAATACTAACATTGTGAACCTTGATTGATTGACGTTAACACAGTAATCACTACAATCTATGATACATCACCGTGATCGATAAATTTCCACACATTTCATAAATGTCTAACACAGTCTACTCATTGTCATCACATGCTGATTGTAAAATTTGGCTCAACAGCACAGTGTCAAACACAGTTACTTGTGGTGGATTAATAATGGAAGGAGTGGAAAACATTCCCACGTGTTAGATTGTACGAGAAGTGAGCTTAAATAGAAATCATCTTAACAACGTTCAAACTGGATATCTGCAAACCACAATGAAGTATTCTCTTCTAAGTGTAACATGAAAGAAAATGCATAGTGCAACTTATTCTGCTACCTAATTGACAACTGTACTAAGAAATGTGTAATTTAAATGTTTTGCTTACGAGAAATGCCTGAACGTCAGTTAAACTGGTCGATATTCTGAGAGAAGAGAAAGAGCTACCTTGCTCATCATCGTCAGACTAACAGACTACAACGCAAAATGAACTGATAGTTGTAAATATCTCGAGAATACTATCAGTATTGACATCTATGTTCGATTTGATGCTATGGTGTTTATTGCTTACTTTCATTGTCAACATGACCTATTTCAACATTCCTTATACCTGTATATTAGTCTCTCTCCATTGTTCATTATATGTCATTATGAATAATGGTATACAGGTATCGATTTGTGAATAGCATTTGTGTATTGACCATGTTTGAAGTACCAGTGAATTTCCGTCCAGTGATGTGATGAATTCCGCTCACTAATGGATCACATTCTCACTATGCATCGGAATGGAATGTCTTATATGGTAGAGATCGATTGCATTCTCATGTGAACTGAGAAGCTCATCATTCTATGTATGTGGATAAGAAGCTATTGTGGACGTTGACTTGATTGACGACAATAGTTTGTTACTCTGTTTAATTTAGTAAGATGATAATTGAGTGTACTTGTTTTGAATGTGCTGAGATAAGCCATCACATACACGGCATTTGTTTCATGAAGAAGGTAGTATTTTGAAATCGTTAGTTTATTCAACTGAAGATGTTTCATATTGACTGATACTTCATCAGGAAGCAAGATCATGTGGTTTTGACAAACAATGTAACTCTTCGATGTCGTTTCATTAAAGTCATTTATATGGTATTGAGTAAGCGTACGTAGCAACTTCGCTCCGTTGCATTTGATAATGCAGTTGCTCAGTTAATATTTTATTATATGTTTTCTCACATAGTGAGGTAATATTTAGAAGCTGAGTGCATATAGCAACAACACAGAATTATATGAGTTCAGTAGATTGATGAATTGCGTCTATCACATTTAGTCTCTTAACTGCTTCTCATCAAACTGCATCACATTAATACCAAGCATCATGCCAAACAATATGAACGTCCCACAATATGAACTCAACTACTGAGTATTACTGAGGAATGTAACGCATTCAATAAGATGTGAAACGAGACGAGATAAAGTTAAATATTATTGGGCATATTCAACTCTTGATTGTCCAATAATGAATCAACTGATGATGTGTAATTCTTTAACTGTATAATTTGACCAGCCATGAGAAGAAGAGGTCGCAATCCAGATACATATCCGACAGTCAAAATGGAGAGAGACTATCAGAAATTCTTCTCTAACACATTCATACATTAAACCAGCAACACATTTACCACTGTTCTACACATTACCACTCATGATCAGTGTACATCTGATAAAATAATATCTTTGCGCAGATCAAAATAATCACCCAAATTATCTATGTCAGGTATATACATAATTGCATGCCTGGTGAGTAGATGTCATTGGTATGTAATGCTGTATAATCTACAACACTTCTTCACAGCAAATGTAGTTGTTATTTCGTAGTGAGGATGAATGTTCCGCGACCTATTAATGAACTATAATTCAATATATATTCTGATGGATTAACTATTCAGTGATTCTAATTTATTCATACTCCATTTATGAACTCATTATGTTACAGAACGTAAGAGTATTTTCATCTTCTGAACTAATATACACACAATCCTATTTGACTTATGCGGATATTCAACAATATCAGAACGAACTACTGAAATTACTACAATCTTCACAAATACGCATTCTAATAACAATCGTCATGTGGTCATTAGTGACCACCTTCAACACTCCCTGTTCTCGTTTAATTGTAATGAATATTTCAGATGAAATGATTGTTATTCATACTAGTTGTTTCCTACTGCAAATTAGTCGATCTGTGTATCGATTCTAATCGAACGTGCCTAGTAAGCTATACATTATGAACTCATTCATAACAACGACGAAGAGAGAGAGAAAACGTTTCAAATTTTGTGACAGATATATTTATTACCATGTTATTTTTAAAAAATTGTGAATAAAATAAAAAAGTGAAATCTCCTTCAGATCACCATCTACTGAGATATTGATGTGCTGAAATCAATTTTCATCAGACACCATCCTCATTTCACTCAGATGACTAGTAGTAATCGGGATTCGGAAAGTCACCGTCAATTTCGGGAGGTGGAGGAATTAAACGAGGATCATATTGATTGGGGCGATGATCGTCAACTGCGACACCAATTGGAATTTGGTTCCAATCTGGGTCAACACCCAATTTGACTTCGGCGACAGTAGGGTTGTTTGATTCTATAGGCGAAATGAGAGAGAAATCAACAGTTAGTTATGGGTTATCAGTTACTAGCTTATTATTATAGCAACCAGATATGAAGACTTTTACTTACTCTCGGTATCGGCAACTGACTCAACGAACTGAATGATTGTAAGGTGCACTGCAAACAGCATGATCAACATCTTGATATATCTCATTTTCAGACTGATCTCTCTCACGTAAGATGAAGGAATCAGTGACACTGTTCTCCGACTATAATCAAATATCAAGCTACCACAACGTCGTTTATATACTCATACTGTCTAGATGACACTTATCAGAACAGACATTAACACGCTGACACATACGTTCGTGGTTGGTCATAACTTACTTATTTACTGGACACAATAGATACCCACGGTCACAATTCTTTAGAGGATTGGTAGTTTGTATGTTACACACACTTCGATGACGACGAATGGCACAATTTCAATAGAGTGAATGTATGATTGGGGTAAATCCATCTTATGTTGATCGATCACTCCAGCCTAATTGATTTGTGTTATCAGGTGATGTTGATCAGGAAGACGGA